AAAAAAAAAAAACACTCCTTTCACCCTCCCACAAAAAAAGAAAAGAGGACAACAACAGGAAAAAAACAAACTGCAACGGTGCCATCAAAAAACTTCTTTACATTTTCGACTTCAAACTGTACGACGCAGGATGTGGGTGATGGATGGGAGACGCATTAAGAGCGCAACGGGCCCATAGCTTGCCAGAAGAGCCGCAGCAACTGCCATTATGACAATGGTCACAACCTGAAAATAAGGAAACGAAAGCGGCACTGGCAGTTGTGTAAACAGATAATTCTGAAGTTGCATAGTGTAGCCCACCACCACTCCTACAACAACACCCATGATCCCAGCAGCAACAACAACGGTAAACGCTTCCCACACAAAAATCCTGTAAATCTGAAACTTTGTCATACCAATGCAGCGATAAATTCCTATTTCTTTCGACGACTGCATCACGTTTGCCGTCATACTGCTGAGAAGTGAAAAGAAGCAGATTGCCAAGGTCATAACTTGCGTGAAGGTGAAAAAGAAACCCATTATATTTTCTGCAATGCTCAAGTACTCGGTAGTTGATGCATCGTCACGAACCGAATAATACTCAAACCTGCTATTCGTTAGGTATTTGCTTACCGCTCGAGAAACCGAACTCAAACGACGTGGATCAGGGACTCGAAGTGTCACGGACTCCAAGGCAATACTGCGAACACTCAGGTAATCTATTGAACTGACGCGAAGAGCAGTAGGGTAGGAAACCAAAACATCACAATCCACACTACGGAACTTTGACATTGTCACATGGGGAGCGGCACTCAGCACCGCAGACGGCTGCACTGCATATCGCACACTTTTTGCAGTCTTCTTAACAGTATTGGTAGTCAACGCTGTCACAAGCATCATGGGATCTTCAAGTGAGTTTGAATTTATCGTTGAGTAAGCTGAAGCTGACATAATCAATTGGTTTCGTCCTTCTGTGTAAAGAGCACCAGCGAGAGAGTACTGTCTGCTACGCCGGTTGTACCTATCCACCAAGAGGAACTTCTTGTCGAGGACTTCAAAGAAGTTGGGCGGAACACCGCGGACACCCCTTGCCAATACTGTTCGAAACCTCCCTGGTGATGACAAGGTGACGTTCTGCAGAGGCTTACCGTAAGTGATAGACCGCGAAAGGTAAGTCAACGCCGTGACAGCACTCAGTTGCGTCTTCACAAACATGGCAAAGGGCCCGAGATGCCTTAAGGCCAGTGAGTCAGATGAAACCACTACTTCAGCGCCTGTTGCTCTGCGCATATCGTACTGAAATGACCGAAGTTGTAATTGAACAGCAATCGTGATGAACATAACAAACCCAAGTGAGAGCGCGTACATCAACGTCGTCGTACGGTTACGTCTTCTGTGTGCCTTCAAGCAAACATGTACCGCCTGGAAAACTGCGCTGCCCTCCCAGAAGAGGAAGAGATACGACACCATCGATTGAAGAAGACGCTCAAGATTTAGGGAGAGTATCACCAAACCTGTCAGCATTCCAATAAGGACGCCCAAAAATATACCGAAGAGCAAGGCAAGCTGCGATTGCACCATTCCAATGGGGAAAAGGTAATACAATAGGAATCCAAACACAGCGAAAGCAATCCCGAGAGCAAACATAGTAATATCGAACCCGCTTGCGTCTCTCTCCCGCACAATTTTGTATAATACACCCGAATTCTTACCACGAGAAGAATTCAGAGCATCCGGGAGATTTTGAGAGACGAGCGAGATAATGGGAAGAATTGAACCAATAAGTGGGAGCATTAGACCAGCAAACGTCGCCCATCCAATTGCTTCCCCAGGAACGAGCAGAGGGAGCTGCACGGAAATTATGGCACTGACAATGGAGCGTAGTCCAAGATATATTAGCTGCCCAATAGCGAGACCAGCAATCCAAGCTGGTATCGTAAAGAAGTACGCGTTTGTTAGCACCATCAGCACCAAACTCTCCCGTGTGAAGCCTAGCATACGGTGAATACCCAATTCATACACTCGTGTTTCCACACCCACATTAAGAAGTGAGTAAATGAGCACAAGGCTGAGGAAAGCCAAAGCAAGGAGCATGAGAGATGCGATTAGCCCAACGAAAAGTGAGAAGAACTTCACTGAAGACAAAAAACGGATAATAGGCGTGTCTACTGTGAGCTGATTGAAACCAAGAGGGCCAATTATAGTGGAGGCCCAGGAAGTCACGTGGTATCGTACGGTGGCATAATCTGAACTCTTATACGCATTCGTTCGCGCCCGTGGATTGAGATTAAAGTGAATGCTAGTCGCACACCATTTTGGGTTCTTCCGCGCCACTTCTTTTCGCGTCGCCTCACTCACGGATGGACTCAAGCCCTCGGCGACGACATCAAGCATTGAGTGAAAATCCATGACGATGAAATCCACCACGTCAAACTTTGCGGTATCAAAAGCAATAATATCGACAACCTTCATCGGCATAATACTGTACTGGTTGCCCACGAGGTCGGGCATGCCTTGAACCACTTCTCGAAGTGGCCCACTGATATCTGCAAAAAGTACAACGGTGTCCCCGACAACGGTATCATTCGCTGCAAGCGCGACACTTTTGGATAGAATTACCTCGCCTCTCTGCAGTTTGGGTTTTTTCCATGGCACACCGAAGCCCATTCGCTCCTCGCGTTCACTGTCGATGGCGAATAGCCGTTGGCGAACTTCTGGTGCATCGCAGTGCGTATTTACGCAACCCGCACGGCACGGCTTGTTGTCTGCGCCCAACCATAAGTC